GAGTGAGGGGGGGAGAGAGAGAGAGAGAGAGAGAATTTTTTTTTTTAATATCCATTTTCTAGTTCTCGGCGGACACAACATCCTTGTTGGCACGTGGTGCTGAGGATCGAACCCGGCCCGTACGCATGCCAGGCGAGTGCGCCACCGCCTGAGCCACACCCCCAGCCCTTAAATAGGCTTTTAATGTTTGTTTGTTTGTTTGTTTAACTGATTCCAAAATGAACATTATTATCCTCTGCTCCTACTTTGCAAGAAACTCTTTGTGGCCTTCAGTGTCAGGAATGTTTGCTGTTGTTTGTTTGGTTGGTTTTGTTTTGTTTTTAATTTTTAAATTTTTAAAAATTTTGGTGCTAGGGATTGAACCTGGATCACTTTACCACTGAACTTCATCCCCAGTCCTTTTTATTTTGAGACAGAGTCTCCCTAAGTTGCTGAGGCTGGCCTTGAACTTTTGATCCTCCTGCCTCAGCCTGAGCAGCTGGGATTACAGGTATATGCCATTAAACCTGACTCAGGATGCTTTGAGCTGAGTGGAAACATGCTACCACTTCTTAGGAGCATGAAAACCTCTTAGGTTTTCATATTCTATTTTCTTATTTTGTTTGTTTGCTGGGGACATTTAGGATTTTGGTAAAGATGAATGGGCTTTAGAAATGTGTGCTCACATTTCATCTTGTCCTAAAGTCCCTCCATTTGTTTATTTGTGTTTTTATATAATTGATTGGTGCCCTCTCATTAATATACATGGCCTAGAATGATTTTTATCTAATTGATTATGAATTTAAAGCTAGGATGGAATTTAATAGTTTTTCTCTAACTAGAGTATCAAATATATTAAACCTTTAATTATATTAAACCTTTAATTTTGCCAGGGCTAAATTATTAGGCTCTGACTTCAGTTTCTAAAGATGGCCTTTTATGGAGAAAAATAAGTTACTTTTTTCAAGACTGAGACTTATTTTTCATTAATTTTTGGTTTGCACTGTACTCTGGGTAATTACAGTTGCTAGAAATCTGATAATTGTGTGAATTACTCAATTCCAAATGCAGCCACCTTCTCAATTCTTCTCTAGCACAGTGTAATAGCTACCCAATCCCACCTGTCTTAGACAACTTCCTATTACTGTAACAAATGGCTAAGACACATCAATTTATGAAGGAGGAAGATTTATTTTGGCTCACAGTTTTAGAGTTTGCAGTCCATGATCAGTTGACTCAGTCGATTTTAGACCTGTGAGGCAGCAAAGTGTGATGGAACAAAATCTCTTACCTTATGACCAGGAGCTAAAAAGAGAGAAAGGGTTTGGAGTTCCACTATCCGCTTCAAGGCTACAACTCCTGGTGACACAAAGATCTCTACTAGGTCCCATCTTTAAAGTTGCTGACACCTCCCAATAGTCCCAAGCTGGGGACAGCCTTTAACACTGAGGCCTTTGGAAACATTTAAGATCCAAAYTATAGCACCACCTGTTCTATGTTAAGATAGTTACAATTGTGTTTCTAAGGATCTCTGCCATCTTAGCTTTCATTAAAAATGAAATAATGCTTTCAATAGAAAATAAGACTAGTGTGTTTCTTATACCAGCAGAATCACTTTCCCACCCAATGTTTAAGGAAAACCTCACCAAAGTGGCATTGTATGGTAAAAATGGCATAAGTCAAAATTAACACAGAGCAATTTACGACTTCCAATACTGCCAATAGCAAATAAGAGACCCTGATCCTGATGGAGTAGCTGACCATTCCTGATATCACCAATGCAACAGCAATTGATTTTAGGCATGCTGATATTTAATGTGATGATCCATTTAAATTAAATCATATTCCTGCCTTAACCATACTTGGAACTTAGTGTTTGTTTTTTTTCCAAGAGCTCCTATTTTTTTTAKAAATAGTTGACCCAGGTTTGAAAAACTGTGATTTGTCATTGATGAAATGATTTGCCATTGATGAACTGTCTTGCCACATAGTAATTGGGGGTACTTGGGGCTTTCCCATTGTTCTGGTGGCATCTGTAGGCCAGAAAGAGAATATGGAAGATTCTGTTTAAGATTTACTCCATTAAGTCATAATGTACCTAGGTCAATAACAGTAAAAATTTATTCAAGAACTTGTTGAATGATAGGTGGCTGGCATTTCTGCCATTGATGATTGGAGATTTAAGGTCCTTGAAATATGATCATTTGAAGTTTCTGATAAAAATAGCAACCCATTCAAAGACTTATTCTACTCCCCATCCTTGCCCCATTTATACTACTATACGTTCCTCTGAACCAGTTGGAAAAATACACGTTTTCATGGAAACTTGGAAAACTGGCCTTCTGAGTAGTATGTGAATGTTATAATGGGTTTGTTTTTAATTCTTATTATAGACAGATACTGTATTCAAATGGTTATTGTGTAGTAAATATTAGCAGACTTTTATCTTTTAAAAAATATATTTGATGTCCTGTAGAACTGTAGAATTTAAGTCTTTATCCTGAAGAAAGCAATCTGGCATATCTGTTTCTGAGATTACCAACAGTGTTCAAATTTTGGGTAATAAGAAGAGATGCCTCTGATGGATGGGCTCAAGTGAAGTGCAGAATTCATTTTGGCAACACCTGATATAGAAAAAAATGATCTCATTTCACATTAAATTAGCCATTTTCTCAAAATCTTTTATTGAGCTGTTAGAGTGTCCAATTATTTCAAGAATGGAAAGAAGAGAGTTGGGGAGAAGAGTGAAATTTAAAAGATGATGTCTTTCAATATTAAACAGGAGAAAACTAGGCTCAGAGATGTTAGATGACTTAACCTATATTTAAGACAGATATTTCTCACTCAAAAGATTTCAAGACAAGTTCTTAATTTTCCAAAATTATCTCAACAAACCAGGCATGGTGGTACATGCTTATAATCCCAGAAACTCAGGAGGCTGAGGCAGGAGGACTGCCATTTCAAAGCCAGCCTCCACAACTTAGTGAGGCCCTAAGCAACTTAACAAGACCCTATCTCAAAATAAAAGAAATAAAACATAAAAAGGGCTGGGGATGTGGCTTAGTGATTAAGTGTCCCTGGGTTCAATCCCTGGTACCTAAATAAATAAATAAAATTTTAAAATGTACATTTAGACTAAAATTATTTCGGAATAGGTTATTTTTTAAAAGACCAAGCTAAAAAATATATTCATTTAAAATTTACTTATTGTACTCTATTTCAAATTTGTCTGGCAAGTGGGTGTATCCAAGAGATCATAGAACAACACCATGTTTCTAAAGCTTCAAAAAGGTTACTTCCAGAATCCTAAACATTTTAAATTCTTTTCATAGAACGTAGAAGAAAAAAGTATACTTTGAGATAGCTGTCTTCCCTACAATAGGGACACACCTGCCCCTTATTAAGAAGAATAAGAAGAGTTCAGGTCGCATGTAAGTCACTGAGCTGGGTGTGGTGGCACGTGCCTGTAATTCCAGTGACTTGGAAGGCTGAGGCAGGAGGATAACAAGTTTGAGGCCAGCCTTGGAGACTTAGTGAGACCCTGTCTCAAAATAAAAAGGGATGGGGATATAGCTCAGAGGTAAAGCACYCCTGGGTTCAATCAATCCCCAGAATCAATACATACATWCATACATACATGCATACAAACAAGAGAAAATAAARGAAAAAAGTAAAGAAGAAAAAAGAAGAAATCTCTGGCATGTGTTGTTCACTTTACAACATGGAAATGTTTGCTCATGGAGTATCTTCTTTGATCCTACAGTTGTTACTAATTGTGATTGGAGCTGTGGCCGTGGTCTCTGTTTTACAACCCTACATCTTCCTAGCAACAGTGCCAGTGATAGCGGCTTTTATTATGTTGAGGGCATATTTCCTACGAACTTCACAACAACTCAAACAACTGGAGTCTGAAGGTATGACAGTGCTCCCCTTGGGAGAAAACCAAAAGAACATTTGGGAATTCTCCATTGTTAATCTACATTGCAGAAAAAAAAAAAAAAAAAAAGAATCCTGCTCTTAAACTCTTACATCATATAACAATGATTTTTTTTTGGAAATATATATTTGTAGAAGAAAACTACATCACACATAAATTATTTTTGCCAACTCATGACTTTATTTTGGTTTTGAAACAAGCATATAGTCTGGCCAGAGTTGGTGCCTAAGACAGTCATTCATAATTTACTTGTATCATTTAAATTTTAAAAACTTCAAAAAGGTTACTACAGACTTTCATAGAACCTAGAGAAAACAAAACATTTTCTCAGAAACAATGCCCAAAGGTAGCCAAGAAATGTGAGTAAATAATGGTCATGATTTTACAGTATGTTGCCATCCATGGTAGCCAACGAAAAAGGAAAGGGTAATTCATCAAAAATGAACAATCCTACTATTCAAAGGGTGGTACYCGAGTGAAAGATCTCTCTGGCCTGTGACATTTATGGCATGCTGTATTCTAAGTCTTTTTTAAGAACGTGRTAGCCTGAAATTGCACTCTGTGTTTACATGATTTGCATTGTTTTCAATGGGAATATTTCACAGGCAGGAGTCCAATCTTCACTCATCTTGTTACAAGTCTAAAAGGACTATGGACACTTCGTGCCTTTGGACGACAGCCTTACTTTGAAACTCTGTTCCACAAAGCTCTGAATTTACATACTGCCAACTGGTTCTTGTATCTATCAACGCTGCGCTGGTTTCAAATGAGAATAGAAATTATCTTTGTCATCTTCTTCATTGCTGTTACCTTCATTTCCATTTTAACAACAGGTATTATGAACTCATTAACTATTTAACTACACATTTTATTGGTTATTTTTAGTTATATGTGACAGTAGAATCCATTTTGACATAATTATGAAAGCATAGAAKATATCTTGTTCTAATTCCGACCCTAGTATCTCTCCTTCCCATTTCCTCTCCCTACCCGCTAATCCTTTCCCTTTTTTGTTTTATCTGCCATTTAAGTAAAAATGTTGTCAATGAATAAAAAGTTACATTCTTTATAGGTTAAAGAGTGTAGATGTCTTTAAAAGATTTTTGTTTTTCAGTTTATTAATCAGAAATTTGATGGTTTACTCTTGAGCAAATGATTTTTTTTGAATTTATATAATTTTATTTTTGAGCAAATAATTTCTTTGCATTGGAGCTATATATTGTGTTATCCCTACTTTCACACTTTAGAAAAAAAACTGAGACACAGAGAGCGTCAGTTAGCAGCAAATTTGTGATTGGTAGAAAAAAATTACTCTTCTTATATTGATATTGGTAAAGGGTCCTGGCTTCAAAATCAATAGATTTCTTTTTTAAACAGCTCTTGGGATAGGGGGAAAGAAGCATTTCCCCCCACCTCTCTCTTGCTTTACCTCTCCCTCTCTCCCTCCCTCTCTTGCCTTTCTCCCATCCTGATAAGTTTTGTTCTTTTAACCACTGGTTTATGCATTCTTTATCTAATATTAATTCACATGAGGAGACATTACCAGAGAAGGGAAATACTTTAGATAAAAGTGCCWTAGTTTTCAAATGCTAAGATTCTGAATTCTAGGATCTTTGGAAGAAAATCACTAAGTTTTTCATAATAAGTAAAATACAAATCTATATAGATAAATGAGTTTTTTAAGAAGTTTAATTTCTGAGCTATATATCATCTATATGTATTATATATATAACAATAGACAAAGATTGAGAGAAATTGCCACTCAATGCCAAATACCCAGGATTGTTTGGTTGTAAAACCAGAATCCTGCTCAATCCCAAATGGACAATTACAGGAGTCTTATGGATCCAAAGGGCAAGCAACACTATTGTACCTGGGAGGGGCCAGAACAGGCACCAGAGACCTTGCCATCTTTTGAATCCAGTTGCTGGCTTCTGTCCATTCCATTCCAGAACTGTCATTCCTTTCTCTTCGAAGACTGGTTTTCTTGGTGTGCCAGGGTTAGGGCACATRTACTTTATGTGGCTTTTTCCTTCTTGAGTTAACAGCAGCATTCCCCCATCTAATTAAAAAGTCCCGGAGGGAACAGAAAACAGTTTTTTGTTTTTGTTTTTGTTTTTTAAGTCAGGGTCCACCTGCAATCCACACTGTAATGAGGCTAGTTGCTTTTCCACATTTGTTTTTCTCTCAGCTGGACAGTGGGAAGTGACYCCATGAAAAGAAGATAAATGGGCAGGCAAATAATAAATCTCCCATAGCACACTAATTTTTGGCAATAATTTTTAAAAGTAAAGTTTCTTATAGAGTCAGAATATTTAAATTTTTTATTTAATAACTTAAATGATTAAATAGGATCAAAAATTACTGAATTACATAAATGAGGATTTGTTAACAATAAGTCAACCCAATATATCATGTGCTRTATTATGATGGTGTGAAATTTGATTGAATTTTGGTTTAGCAGGGAAGTAGTCAAAGCATTTAACAATCAGCATAATATAGAACCTCCCAGTCCAATCACATGCCCAACCACAGTGGACACTGGCCACCCAGCTATTATCAATCTGGGCTCAACTGGTCTTCAGCTACATTAACTTTCATACATAAATTAACTTCCCTAAGCTTCTCATTTTCCTCATGTGTAAGAAGACACAGTAATAGTACCTCTCCCTAGATTTGTGGTATTAAAGATGGTAATTTATGTAAAACATCAGTATAGTGCCTAGTCCACAGTAAATACTCTATAACTGCTATTTTACTTGATGTTATTAAAATTTTATCTTATTCTTAGCCTCCAAAACAAGTAATATATTGGAGACTTGGATGGATCTTAAGTATTTAAAGTGAGTTACTTAGTACAAAAGCAGAATTTTGCTGTCTATGGATTACCTTCTGTTAGAGGAATTGTGAAAAATTTTTTTCAATTAATAATAGGATGAGAGCTGGTGTTGTGGCAGTAGAGCGCTTGCCTAGCATGTGTGAGGCCCTGGGTTCAATCCTCAGCGCCACATAAAAATAAATAGATAAAATAAAGGTATTGTGTCCAACTACAACTAAAAAATAAATATAAAAAATAGGGTGAAGTATTTCTCCCAATTTTTGAACTTTACAACAATGTTATCATGCATTCAAGAACTAAAATTGATTAGGACTTGATAACCTAAATTTATAATAATTTAAGAACATCTCAAAATTTTTATAGCCAAAATACTGAATACTTATAAATTTYAATTAGTTGTACTTTCTAGTCCTACACAATTATTTGCTCTAATTAAACACTTAAGCATTCTTCTTTCTAGTGAGCTAGTTTCTTATTTCTTCTTTTCTTTTCTTTTTAAAAATGTATTGAGCAGCTTCTTTCTTTCCAAATGTCAGAACCATTTGTTTCTGACTGCCTGGTCAAATGCTAGGTCCATTTTCTTCCCAACTGCCTTTGAGCAGCAGGGAAATTCATCCTTGCAAATATATAAAGCACACCTAAACATTGTGCAGATGCTATTCACGTGTATACCTCCTTAGCTTTTGAGTTTGTTTTTTCTTTTTTCTTTTCTCTCTCTCCTTCCTTCCTTCCTTCCTTCCTTCCTTCCTTCCTTCCTTCCTTTCTTTCTTTCTTTCTTTCTTTCTTTCTTTCTTCTTTCCCCATCAGGACCCAGGACTTTCTTTTCCATGTTCTATTCTAATATTTGTCATTAATGTTATATTCAAAGCAACAGTAGAGGAGAGAAAACATGCTATGTACCCAAGACCAACAACTCTGTCACTACCTGAAGCTTTTTTTTTAATAAAAATGGCATTTTTCCCTTATATTCAGTCATCTTGGATTTAAAACATTCATTGAAAATATACTATCTGGGGGCATTTTTGCTACTGGCATATGTGGTGGTGGATTAAGAGGAAAGAAAGATGGTTAAAATCAGCATAAAATTGAAATGTGAATTTAATGTGATTTGTGCCATAAGAGAGGTCTGCACAAAGTCATTCACAGAAGAGACAAATGACATGTTTTTTAAACATGTTTTTTTTCCACATATAGGTGAAGGAGAAGGATCTGTTGGTATTATTCTAACTTTAGCCATGAATATTATGAACACATTGCAGTGGGCTGTAAACTCTAGCATCGATGTGGATAGCTTGGTAAGTTATTTTTTTTTGACTTTATGAAAAAATTCAGAAAAAACAAAAAGTATAGGTAAGAACATAAGGAATAACTATATACTATGACAGAGCTTAAGAAATGAGTTCCTACAGATATACTAAAGACTGTTTAGTATCTCTCAATGAGCTCATATCTCATCTTTTCTCCACATAGACAGTTACTATGAAGATCAGATCTTGCACATGTTTCCTGTCCTAGGATTTTTCTAGGACAGAAACTTAGGTGTGTGTGGAATTGCTGGGTGACAGAATTCACCCATGCTCAACTTTATGATGCTAAATTGTCCTTAAATCTGTTCCACCAATGTACAATCCCATAAAAAGACTGCAGGAATTCCCCTAGCCCTTTGTCTTTAGCAACACTTTTGTTATGTCAGAATTTTAAATTGTGGCCATTAAGTGGATATGATTATAAAGAAGACAGGGCAGCCTACATATTTCGTGTTAAAATCCATTTGGGGAAGCTGGGCATGTGGCTCAAGCGGTAGCGCGCTTGCCTGACATGCGTGGGGCCCGGGTTCTATCCTCAGCACCACATACAAACAAAGATGTTGTGTCCACCGAAAACTAAAAAATAAATATAAAAAAAGAAATTCTCTCTCTCTCTCTCTCTCTCTCTCTCTCTCTCTCTCTCTTTAAAAAAAATAAAATAAAATCCATTTGGGCTCCTCTTCTGTTAATTGCTTGTTTATCCATTGCTCAGTTCTGAACTAGACTGGCTTGTTTCTTCCTTACTTGGGTCAGTAGGAGTTTATGAACCCTGGATCAGTTGTCCGTTTGTGCATTTTAAACATAGTCCTTCAGTCAGTGGTATGGCTAAATATGTCTTTTGATGAAAAGAAGCTTTTTTAAGTTTATTGAAGATAAACTTATTAATCTTTTTCTTTGTGGATTGTGCTTTTAGTGTCTTATTTAAGAAGTTCTGCCCATATCTTAGGTTTTCAAATTCAGTAGTATAAYATTTGTTCATAATGTTCTGATTTTTTAAAAACTTTTAATTTTTTTTTTTTAGTGGTTGATGGACCTTTATTTTATTCATTTATTTGTATGCGGTGCCAAGAATTGAACCCAGTGCTTCACATATGTGAGGCAAGTACTCTACCACTGAGCCACAACCCGAGCCCTAATGTTCTGATTTTTAGAAAGTTTCCAGTCTTAGTGAAGCTTTATTTTTCCTTAAGTGTTTATCACTGTCTCCTCACTTTTTGTTTGATCAATTTTGCCACAGATTTATATTCATTATTAGTGTGCTACAGACCATATTTTGGTTTTGTTGTTTTTCTTGTCTCTTGTTCCATAGAATAYAGAGCCTGTAGTTGCTTATGTACTAGCAATATGTCAGGAACACAAAATCCCCTGGGCATCTGGAGTGAGTAGAGAGGGAGATTTTTTTTCCATTTTTATTTAATGATCAAATACATAATTTTTAGTCAAACTATATAGCTGTCCTAGGTACTTCATGATTGACTTTTCTTTAGGCTTTTTTGGAATACTATATTGAAAATTATTCATCCATTATTGCATTGATGGGAGATCTAAAAACCCAAGTAAACAAACGAGTCTACAACAATATTATTTCAGTCTTTGTGTAAATTCCTTTCCCTTTTCTATTAGACAAGTCACATGTTCTCAAACCACACACATTTGAACAATTAAAATCAGTATAATCATTTGGAACAAAAATCATTATGTAAATATCTCTAGGGGGAAAACCTTTCAATACCTTTTTTTTTTGCCATTGTGTCTGTATTTTATTGAAGTATCTTAATAATTCATTAAAATGTAATATACCTGTAGCATAGAGTTTCTTTTACTTTTTTWAAAACTTGATGAGATCTTTTAGTATCTCCATTCTTTTTTCCATATTTTTTATTGATGCATCATAGTTGTACATAATGATGGGATTTGTTGTTACACATTCTTATATGCACACAATATAACAATATAATTTCACCAATATCACTCCCCAGTACTTACCAATATCACTCCCAAATACCTTCCCAACTTCCATCCTTTGTTCTCTTCCTGTTTTGATCTCCCTTTGATTTTAGGAGATCTGCTCCTACCTTTCTTTTCCTTTTTCCCCTCTAGGTTTTGCATATGAGAGAAAAAATAGGACCCTTGAAACTCTGATTTTGACATATTTTGCTGAACATAATGGTCACAAATTCTGTCCATTTTCTTAGTGTCTCCATTCTTCTCACTTACTTCTATTTCATTATGCTTTAGGAGTTGGGTCTCATAAAGGTATGYAAAAGGGTTTCTGTTGGAAAGTAGCAGAAGAATATAAAATATATTGTGTTTGTATTTATTCAATACCAATATTTACAAATACAAAAATTCTTTGTTCAGCTCTTACAACATTGACTTTACCTTTTACAATTCTTCTGCACTTTACCTGTTTCTTTATTTAAAAACATCTCTTTACCTTGTGTAGAAAAATTCCCTTCTTTTGCCTTACTCATTTTCTTGCTTTGTGTAAGAAGTTCTACATGATGATGTCAAACTTTTGTTCTGTGCGTTTTTATTCTGCAGGTCCAATCTCATGGGAGTTGCTTGAAGGTATTAGTTTTACACATAAGCATCCTGGGATTTGTAACCTGTGTTTTGACATTGTGTCTTTCATCTCATGGCATAAAAGGGCTTTGCAAGATTGTATTATGTTATGATATAGCCTGTGAACTGTATCAATATTTGCATTTGATTTCACTTTTAGAAAGTCATGTTCTTTTGTATATCAAAGTGAATATGTGAGTTTTCATGTGCCTGCCAAATAGCACAAGTCTTTCCCAGGCATCTGTGAGCATTTATCTAGTTATCAATTCACATTATACTGCTGTCACCCACACAGTTACTAAAGTTATAGAGTCACCTTTTTATTTTCATCTTGCATATGCTGTGAGGGAGGAGAAGAGATAGATTGAGCTATGTCCTAAGATTTCATGTTTGTGTGATGCTAACACCAAAGGTCCTTGAACTTCCCAAGTGAAAGCTTCATGTGTTGTCATTTTACTTTACTAAGTTATTCGCTGAATTTAGAGTTGAATTTAAATTGGAGTAAATGGGATTTTTTTTAGTACATACTTTTAGTTTTCAAGTGCAGGGCTGTCAGGAAAAAGAATCCTTGGGTTCTTGCTACATACCTTGTAGAAATAAGAACAAGAAAAAAGAATATTTCACTCACCCTTACCCATCTGGCCTCATTTAAACATGGACATAAAATGAAACACTGACAGGACCTGAAATCATGAAAATGGCAGTGTTGTTTTACTTCTACTTCCCACCTGCTGCGTATACCCAGGTACCTAACTTTCTTYAGCTTTCAACTAGTATCTAGGTGATAACAATAACTTGAATGACTTTGTATTTATGATCACASATCTCAAATACCAGCACTCAAAACTACGCAACAACATTTTTATTATGTTTTACTAATTAATTATTTGTTGTATTCCCAAAGGTAGCTGTTTCCCAATCTGTCTCCTTTCAGATTCTCCAATAATTCTATCCCTGGTGCTTTTATCCRTGACTTCGCTGCATTCCTTATAGAAATAAATAGGTGTAATCTGAGCAAATCCACTCACCTCTCTYCACTAGTGGCACCAGCCTACTGCACCTCTACTCAATTCCCAGCCTTCTCTTCTGTGTCCCTGCTCCTATACACAGGCATATAATATACAATTTCCTGCTTTGTGGGGCCTTTTGCACTAGCAGAAAAATACTCACCCTTAATCTCCAGTTTCCGTATCATTTCTTTGACCTATTTTCAGCAAAACTTCTTGAGAGATTGCCTTTCTCTGTTTTCTCCTCCCATTCTTCCTACAGCCTGCTTTATTGTATTCCCATCACTCACCTGACTCATGACCAATATCTTGCCAAAGCCAGAGTCCTTGCCTCCTSCAATTATTGAACAGTATTTGCTGTGGGCAAAACCGGTTGCCACTCCCACTTTGTTTCCCTGATACCTCCTTATTCCTCTGTAGTCCTTTTGGGGGCCATTTCTCTCTTGCAGATTTTTAACCAAAAGCTATGTTGCAGCCYTCCTATTTATGTTTCCTCTATCTGTTATTATCTAATCTCATGCTTCACAAACCATCTCTTGATGAATCATAAATTAATATCTTTAGTGAAGGCCTCTCCTGCTCTCTGAACATGTATCCAGCTACCATCTTACCTCCATGTGTTCATTAATCACACCCATAAAAATGTCTTCCAGTAAACTTGACATTTTAGGACATGAGTTACCATGCCCTAAACACACACAGGTCATAAAGGACCATTAAAATGACACAGAGCTTCCACTCTACCTCTTAATTTGCCAGGGAGGTTAGATAAATAAATAAAAGCCAGAAAATGTACCAAAGGTAATGTTTCAAACTCAGCCATGTCAAGCCATCTGGTGACTATGAAATTGCTTGCACTCATAGTAACCTGATTTGAATGAGGCAGTTGACAACTCATGTCTTTTTAATACTGTCTACCACAGGGTGAATATAGTTAAAATATTCTCAGGAGGCGAATACAATCTTGCTTCCTCWGTTTTCCAAGGGAAGCAGCAGATAACCATCCCTGTTTCCAGTAGCTGCCTGTCTGTCCCTAATAAAGACAAGAGGAAGGAAGCCGCCAGAGTGAGCCTGAGGACAGTGAACCTGCAGGGCTCACATTTAGATTCCCGTTAATGAGGCTCCAGAAGGTTCTTGCATGATTGATGCAATCTGAGAAGAGTTTTCTGTCAATAGAAACTCTCTCTGTTTCTCCTTTGTCCTTTCACTGCCTGTGTTTGTTTTGGGTTCCAGTAAAGATCAAGTGACTGATTGTACAATGAAACCTGGTGGGAGGAGAAAAGGGGAATCTGGCTTTTCTTCATCACAGCTTCTGATGCCTAATGTCCTTGTAATAAAAGTGGTTTCTGTTGTAAGAATCTGAGGAGAAAATTCATTTCTCATTTTTTTTCTTTCTTTTAATGGGTTATTGATCAT